TGTACAGATAATTGTACAGATAATACAATAAGATTTAATGCTAATATGAATGCTAATTCATAGATGTTTATGGTTTATGAATTTCTTCGAACTTCATAAAATAACAAAACATAATATAATATTAATGATGATTTTTTGATGAACATGTCAGGGCAGGTTGTTTTATGCTTACAGGTCAGTTTAGGACCATTCAGACTAGTGGGTCAGATTTAAAAGGTCATGTGAAAAACCTGAAAAAAAAATAAATAATAATAATCAGATTTGAGTTGAAAATCGAAACCGGGCTCTTTGGCTTGTGTGTAGTGCAAGAGTATTGGAAAAAGAGAGCTTGTGTATGTGTACGTTGTATCTGCTAATGACTATCGAGCTGCAAGTGTTGACAGGTCGAGCTGTTAGCATGTGTGATAATGAGTGATCACTGGGGAGTTGGACCGTATGGGGACCTGTGGTGTTAATACACGTCTATCCAGCGCTGCCTCCCTCCTGGCTGACGCTCAAACAAAGCACCTTAAACTCACAGTCTAACCTCTCCTTCACCGGCCGGCCAATGATAACCCATTAAAACAACCCACCCCAAGTGAACAAAATTGCCTAAGTGTTTCTCTTTATCAGCGGGAGCGTGTGTACGCTGCACTATCCGGAGCCAGTTCTATCAGAGCCTGAGGTCCATGCCGCAGACATTTTTTTCTACCACCCTATTCTCTCTCTCATCTGTTCGCTGCCCTTTCATGTGACACAGACTGTCTGTTATCCTAAAAGACACAATGGAGGTGGTCGGGCAATCCTGAGAGCAAACACACGCAGCCATACTCTGGCCTTTGTTGGGCCTGGAGGATTCTCCTTTTAAAGGTTCAGCGCTGCAGCCACATTGGCAGGGGCTGGGGACCAGCGCTAGACACCCTGACGCTCACAATGCAGATTGTCTGAGGAAATGCAATGTGTTCCTTCTTCTCCTCCTGCTGGGGCAGACAGAAAAGACTGCAAGAGAGAGAACTCTCCTCTCAGATTAAGTGAGTTTTTTGGAGGTTAAAAAGTTCTTCAGAACAAAAAACTGTTCTTCAGATAAGCGTGTTATTTTCTGGATAATTTTTTAAGGAACTAAAGAATAGGTCTTAATGGACCTTAAAAGAAGTTTGGTAGCACTTTAAAATATGGTTCCATTTTTAAAGATTTTTTCAAGATTTGTTCACAAAAATTAATACTTTTATTCAGCAAGGATGCATTAAATTGATCAAAAGTGACAGTAAAGACATTTATATTGTTATAGCGCTGCAGCCACATTGGCAGGGGCTGGGGACCAGCGCTAGACACCCTGACGCTCACAATGCAGATTGTCTGAGGAAATGCAATGTGTTCCTTCTTCTCCTCCTGCTGGGGCAGACAGAAAAGACTGCAAGAGAGAGAACTCTCCTCTCAGATTAAGTGAGTTTTTTGGAGGTTAAAAAGTTCTTCAGAACAAAAAACTGTTCTTCAGATAAGCGTGTTATTTTCTGGATAATTTTTTAAGGAACTAAAGAATAGGTCTTAATGGACCTTAAAAGAAGTTTGGTAGCACTTTAAAATATGGTTCCATTTTTAAAGATTTTTTCAAGATTTGTTCACAAAAATTAATACTTTTATTCAGCAAGGATGCATTAAATTGATCAAAAGTAGCAGTAAAAACCCTTATTATGTTAAACAAATTATATAAATAAATTATAAATATAAATAAAATAAATTGAATTATAATAAATAAATTCTATTTCAAATAATTATTTCTTATATTTTAAACAAATTCTGTTCTTTCTATTCATTAAAGAATCCTTATAAAAATGTATCAAGGTTTCCACAGAAATATTAAGCAGCACAATTGTTTTCAACATTGATAATAATCAGAAATGTTTCTCGAGCAGCAAATCAGCATATTAGATTTTTGAAGGATCATGCGACACTGAAGGCTGGAGTAATGATGCTGAAAATTCAGCTTTGCCATCACAAAAAAAAAAATAAATAAAAAAAATAAATATATATATATATAAAATATATTTCACAATATTACCTTTTTTAAAAAAATAAAATAAATGCAAGGCTGCATTTAAACAAGCTGCAAGGTGAGAATAAACATTAAAAAATCTTAACAACTTCAAACTTTTGAACAGTAGTGTACTATTGTTAATTGTTAATCCATGTCTGTCCATAAAACATTGACTAATGTTAATTTATCCAACTTAAAATGTTAAAAATGTATAAATTAACATTAATGCAGATGAATAAATGCTGTAAAAAAAAAAAGGTTAAAAAATACCTACTGAACAAATTGAACCTTATTGCAAAGTGTTAGCAAAAGTTCTCCTATGGCGTGATTGGGTGGAAAAACCCTTTTGGAGTGAAACACAAACATGCAATCATGCACAACGAGATGCGGAAGAGATCTAATAAGATGTGATGAATGCAAATGGAAAGTCCTTGATACACATGGATGTACGTCTCTGTGAAACCGGATGCAGCTCACTTAACCAGCACGGCCAGTTTATGAGCCAAATATATTTACTCCATATCGTCTATCAAAGCCGTCCTCACTGACAGATAAACCCCAAGTAAAGCAAACAAGCCCTCTGGCTGGAAGACAAGAACCGGGGAGGGTGGGTCTGCGGTAGTCCATCGCGACCACTGGGAACGCTTTGGTTTGGTTATTTAAGACCCTGACTATCATTTTGAATAAAACCTTAAATATGCACAGAGTTCAACTCGCAGGCCAAAACAATCAGATGTTAGGTGGTGCTGAAACGTTTGCAGTCAGTGCCTCTGGAGGCTTTTTTGCGTGGACAGACCTCTGACAGCGTCTGCAGGAGACGTGGCTCGAGATCACAACTTCACGAACGCTCCAATCCTTTTGAGATCATGAGTTTGCGGTAATCTAACGACTCACTGCACTTAAGTCGAGTGATTTATTTTTTTCTGTGCAAAGCAAACAAAACACATAAAAGCCAGTTTCAGTGTTCATAATCTGTTATAAAGCTGGACGATGACGAGTCTTTGAGCTTTCTGAGCTTTCTGCTTCAATCAGAAGCACAGTAATGAAATTAGGTGAAATGAGTGACGTGTAATGAGGGTCTTTTTTTAATTATAAAAGTTTTTTGAACCACCTCATTAACAACTATTTTACTGCTACTGCTACAAACACATTACCAAAAGGGGCTAAACAAGAAAAAAAAAGTAGGTTCATACTGTTTAATAATGTACCTATACTCTTAAAAATAAAGGTTTAGAAAAGAATAGGTTTGTAAAAGAACCATTTTGGGTTCCCCAAAGAACCATTTAGTGAACAGTTCTTAAAATAACCATTTTTCTTAGTGTGAAGACCATTTTAATCATCTAAAAAAAAACTTTTCCACTATAAAGAACCTTTTGTACAATTGAAAGGTTCATTGGTTGTTAAATGCTCTTCATGGAACCATAGATGCTAATAAAGAACCTTTATTTTTAAGAGTGTAGGTGAACAACGGTACTATTCTTAACCTCAGATCACCTAAAATGTATTGCACAAAAAAATGGTAAGTGGTCTCTAAAATGGCAAACTCCAATGTGATTGGCTGGCAATTTCTGAGAATTGGATGAGAAACAAAGTTACGTTTATGAGCTCCCAGGCTGCAGCAATGATTCTTGTGACATGCATAAACCTCCAGATTCCAGAGATGATGGACTGGACCCTCTAAAACAAAGCCCACCTGGTTCCCCACCTCTGGAATGCCATGCAAAGGCTTTCTCCTAATTCCTGCACAAACACCAACACATTATCCATCACCTGAATTATTACAATCCTCCAGAACACCTTGCCCTGCACCTTTGTTTATTTGCAAGTTCATTAAGGCATGTCACAGCAGGTTCATGCTCTGCTACAACTCAACCAAACTGTAACATGCATCAAGTGAGTGGTTTACTGTGCAGTGTAAGGTGAGGTGGTTCACCTGTGATACCTGCGTAAGGTTTGCAGCTCCTCTTCCAGAGTGTGACTGTGCAGCAGGGCTTTATCTCGTTCTCTCTGAGCGTCCTGAAGCTCCTCCTCAGGCTGTAGAGATTGGAGAAAGGCATGTCAGATCATATCGAGCTCTGTTACAACAAACTGTTCATGTATGGACAGAACTAAACTTTAGGAAGCACAAAGAGTTGTAGTGCATGAGGAGAATAGCACAGCTGATATGGGTTTTACCAATAGTGAAACCCCCCCACAAAAATACTGATTTAAATAAAAAAGGAAAATAAATAATGCATAAGTAAAAATAGTTTAAATGAATAGATAATATTTATTATTTACTTTGTCTCCTAACTAAACCTACAAAGAATTCCATGAGGAGAATTAGCGCACGGTCAATATGAGTTGACCAATAGCAAAAGGAAAAAGAAAAGAAATAATGCAAATAAATAATACATAAATAAAAACTGCTGAAATTGGTACATAATATTTTAAAATTAATATCTACTTTATTGTTTCCTAACTAAAAAAAAGAAGAAAAAAAGCTGAAATTAATACATAATATTTATGCATTAACCACATTTTTAACTGCTAGAAGAATGTGGACATAACACACCGGGGAACTAGTAAAATTAATTAGACAAGCAGACATGATTTCTCACCAATGCAAAAAATATATATATAAAAAATATCTGATTAATCAGATAATATATTGATTTATAAAAATACTTAAAAATAGAAACACTAAAAATATGACGCAAATCAATTGTAACAGCAAGAATCAAACCAAATAAATATAAAATTTTGCATGCACTGTGCTTTTGTCAGTAGGTGAATGTGAATCTGAAAAGTTAGCTATGCAAGCTTAATTTTACACAATGCCTCTGAAACACAATTTATAACTACAGTCTTCTTCTACAGAAATGTTTCTCATACGGTCACGTAGCGCATACTGGTCTAATGAAGAGCAATCAAACATTAAATAACATCATTTCATATTTATGGGCTCATTTCATTGTTTTCTCTACTTCAGATCAGGCAGAACTTAACTTTTCTTCATCGCCAATGTCAGACAGATAACCATCTGAACTCCAACTGAACTTCATTCATTGGTTCGTGCGCACACAAGGAGAAACTCAGTGTGAGGGGGATCCAATTTATTCTATTGTCTCCAACTCAGCACCTACTTGGCAGTGGTGTGTCGTGAGACTGAGGGATCCCTAGGCCGGTGGGTGCGGGGAAGGCCGGGCAAACACTGTCCCCTACCTCTCAGTGCCTAAACCTGTGGCACAATAAAGCCCCTGCTAATGACCAGCCGTTGAAACAGATGTATTGATGGGCTCATCCTATCAACAGCTGGGCGAGGAGACAGACACAATGGAGACTGTCCATAAACAAACACGACAACCTGTGCTACTGTAAAAAAAGCCTGCAATTTTCCCCCCGCGAGAGACAGCGAGAGGACAAAGACAGGGAGAGTTGAGAAGACAAACAGAGAAGAGGGGGGTTAAAAGAGAAAGACAGAGGATCAACATGTCCGTTTTCTGTTAAAGAAATAGTTTCCCCAAAAATGAAAATTCAGTCATTTACTGACCTCCAAGTTATTCCACACCTGTGTGTCCAGAGGAGCACTAAAGGAGACATTTTCAAGCTTCAAACAAGACAAATAAGCACTTAAAGTTCTTGTGTGCTATATTCAAAATCTTCAAAAGTCATACAATATCTTTGAGTAGAAGTGCAAATGAGATTTGAGAGTGGAAAGGAAAGATTTTAGGCAAATACTGAGGTAAACTGGTCTGTTATTCATACAAAGTTATCCTATTACTTAAGAAAGCATGAGACATGTGAACTAGGCTCTAAGAAAAGTCTATAAAAATATGGCCCAAAGTACTATTAATATGAAGGAATATTCCGTAATGATTTTTCCCCCCAGGTGTTTTACCCCATATTTTGAATGACGCATTGCATTGTGTAGTGTTTTAGAATTAGAACGATTATTAAAACTTGATAGTCATAGTTATCAATATAATTATCATCTATGGTGTGAACTGGCCTTTAAATGTACTTTTTTTTTAGTGCTTTTTATCCCATTAGTGGAACTTAACAGTAAAAAGCACAATATATGTTTGTCATATTGAAAACAGCAGCTCAGACATTCATCAAAGTGTGTCCTTTTGTGTTCCACACAATAAAGAAAGTCATACAGGTTTGGAATGACATGATGGTGAGCAAATAATGACAATTTCTTTGTCGAACTATTCCTTCAAATGAATGCAAGACTTGGAGTTATCATAAGCGCTGGAGATGAATGACTCTATGGTAACTTTTGCTATTCTCTAGGGTTTGTTGAATTGAGGTGTGTCATTGATAGGCTTGGAATTTCAACAGTTTTCTTCAGAAACACATGAATGCTGTCCGTGCCTTATCTTCGGGGTGTATCATAAACTGCGATAAAGCTTGAAAGTTTTCATCCTACTGGATGCATTGTCTGCAAAACACATTCAGTTTGGCACCTGTTTGATACTGAGCAGTATCTTATCAAGATGCACTGAATGAGAGTTTATTTTTCACTAAAATCAAGTGGAGCACAATAGCCAAAATCTGCAATACGTCACAATAATGTCACTTGCAGGCATGCAACATGCCCAGCTAACAAATAAAAGTATTTAAAGAATGCAAATTGCTAACAATCCCATTAAGTTATGAAAACAGTATTTCTGAATGTTTTGTGAACATTTAAAATGGCCATTTTTTTAAGTGTATTTTTCTTGGTTATGTGAACGTTAGAAAAAACATAAAGGGAATGTTCCACTGCATAATTGTGCAGACATTATGTGAATGTCACTTCTGAAACTAGCAAGTAGCAACATTTAAAAAACTTTAAACAAATTAAATAGCTGTCAATTAAAATGTTTCAGAAAAAAAAATTCCAAGAACGGTGCACAAATAGTTTTTAACAAATTGTGTTCTAAGAATGTTTTTCTAATGTTCCTATCAAGTTACAAAAATGTTATTTTAAATGTTTAAAAAATGTTAGACAAAATAAAATAACAAACAATTAAAATGTTTCCGTAAAACATTACATGAATAATACATGTTTTTTTTAAACATGTTCAAAGAATGTTTTCTAACATTCTGAATAAGTCATGAAAACGTTATTTCTGAATGTTCTCTGAACATTTAAAATGACCAGTCTTTTAAATGCTTAAAATTTTAGTTTAGTTCAGTTAGAGAAAACATTAAGGCATCTATTTTATAATTTTGCAAACATTATGGTAATATTACTTCTGAATGTTTTCTGAACCATCTGAAAGTAGTAGGTAGCAACATTTAAAAAAACGTCAGACACACTAACAAATAAAATGTTTAAGAAAAAACATTCCATGAACAATGCTTAAATAAAGTTTTTGTGCTAATGTTTTGACAGTGTTATTAAAAATCAGATAACTTTAAATCAATGTTCTATTAACGTTTCTGGAAGAATAATTGTTTATAACTTTAAGAGAACCGTTATACACCTCTGATGCAGCCAGTGATTAAAAATCTTCAACTGCAGGCTAAAGACACAAATGCAAATGCAATATTTGCATGCTATAGATAAGTCTGTGTGCTTTCGTACCACAGTGCATGACTGCAACGGAAGCAGGCCTATGACTCGAACGCCCGGTGCATTTAAATCCCCGAAACACTTTTACCCATAAGCACATGCAGCTTCTGCTGGTGCGGCCCCAATCATTCTAATTACTGGAGTGCAGGTCTCGCAAGTCAAAGAGAACATCAAAAAGCCTCAAACCTCTAAAGTCAATATGTACTTTTCCCCAACAGGGAGGGGAGCTCGACTTCAAAGCACAATTCTTTTAATCTTATGTATTTTATCAGCATTCATTACAATATTATCCAAATTAGGTTCCCAGAGTAACGTGCTAACCTGTAGAGATTAAGCCCTGCAAAGGAGGGTCGCAGCCTTGACCTTTACGAGCGAGCGTTTGGTGGGGCAGAGGTGGGCTGGTCATGGCCTTTCTGACCCAGTGGGGAGAGGAGGATGTGATGGAGGTTATCAGCGGTGTCACAGTCCGCTCCGTCGCTATGACTGGAGCTCATTTAAAGCTGCACGGCCCGTATCTTGTCAGAGGTCACCGAATGCTGCCACTTATAAGTGGTTGTGCAAAATGTTAGATGGTACATATCATGGAAAAAATGATTTTTCTTACTCTTTTGAAATAAATAAACAGTTGCAAAGCACATCATTCAGACCTTTTATGAAAACTAAGCAGCAAAAACGTTAAATCATCATGGTTATGACATCACAGCAATAAATACATTAACATATGACCACCCACATTTACATAACACCTACTCAGTATTCAGCACATTGGCCTGCCCTGACAAACAACAGATTAGTTATGCCAAATTAGTTAACCATAAAATGGATAATTTCATATTTAGGAGTCTTAGAGGTACACTGAAAAACAAACTGGCTTTGAAACTGTTTTTACTAATTACAAAGAAATGGCAAGTAGCACATTGACTTAAACAAGAAAATTTCAGTGTTTCCTTGTAAGCATACTTCTAAAATACTTTTTTCCCCCCTTTTTACAGTGTAAAAAATGAAGAAGTGGACTTAAAGGGTTAGTTCACCCAAAAATGAAAATTAGGCTGTGTTTTACTCACCCCCGGCCCTGAGGCATCCTAGGTGTATATGACTGTCTTCTTTCAGACGAATCCAGTCAGAGTTATATTAAAAATTGTCTTTGATCTTTCAAGCTGTTTAATGCCACTCAGCAGATGCTCCATTGCTTCAGTCCAAAAGAACTTAAATAAAAATCGCCCATCCATAAAATAAAGTGTCTCACACGGCTCCGGGGGGTGAACAAAGGCCTTCTGTAGCGAATCGATGCGTTTTGGTAAGAAAAATATCCATATTCAAAACGTAATAATCACTTGAATCTAGCTTGCGTTCACTGTTGTAAACAGAAGCAGTTCCGTGGGAATGACATATGAGGTCGGCTTGCGCATGCGCCGCTCAGAAGTGACGCACGCAGAAACGCAGGGCAGAGATCAAAACAAAGGTCAAGAATTAGAAGTACAAAACGAGG